CCTCCAAACAAAGCTGTCATTTCACCTTCCACAAAGACTTTGCAAGCTGCCTTCTCTCTACTCGCAATGCACTGCTCTGCCCTTACTTCCCCCTTTCCCCCAATACAATCTCAATCTTTCTTCACAGTAACTGTTGGAAATTTTGTACCACTGGATTATCACAGGATCAGTCAGTCAGTGATCTGAGCAACAACTCTTTTACAATAACTCTTTAAAGCCACACAAAATAAGGCTGTAAGAACTTTTAAGTTACCAATTCAAATTCCTTTCAGCAAGCCAACTGTGCCTCAAATGACAAAGCACTGACAGGACAAAAAAGTAGAACAAGGAAGCATTTTTTTCAGCTACTGAAGCAGCCCAAAGACAGCAGGAAAGCCAAACCGTTAATGGTTTCTTGCTAAAAAAAAAAAACCAAACCAGCCCCTTTGGCCACAAGGAAGCAAGGCTCTTGAGGGAGTGTGGAGCATTGACAAGTACCACTGAAAGCTTCAGAGACAGCTAAAGATGCCTAGAGCTCTAATCTAGACAAAAGCCCCAATTTGGTATTCAAAAATTTTTTTTGTTGTTGGTCTGGTTTAAGTATCCAGTATTAATTACTTTTCCCCTATGGCCTTAAAAAAAATCAAAAACACCCAAGAAAAATCTGCAGATCACTGTGATAACCCTGTAACCATTGCCAAGGGCTTTCCAGTCTATAATTTGAGAAAGCAATCTGAATTCTGCTTTTTCACGTGGGAGCCAAGGTCTACACCTGAAGTGCCCACAAGAAACAGCTTAGAACTCAAGCTTATTGCCAGCAGGTGTCATTTCACAGTTCCTGAATCTGTGTTTCTCCTAGGTATTTGAAGGCCCATGAACTGAAGAACTGCAAGTCACTGTTCTTAAAGGAAAACACTCTGAACATTTGCAAGGCCAGCACTTAATCCCATTAAACCCATAAATTGGTAACTAGATGGAAATGCTCAATGCCATTTAAATTACATAAAAGAACATATATTGCATAAATAGAAAATGGTCAGAAGAGAGCTGTGCTTACTTGAATTGAGAAGAATCCACTATCATCCATATTTACAGAAGGCTGCTGCTCAATGTGAAGTTGGAAGGGAGAAAAGGGAAAAATGGTATAAGCATAAAAGGTCAAAAATAAATGAGTTGTGAAAATGAAAATAAATGTAACTGCAGATCCTAAAGCCTTATGTCCTTGTCTGTAAGTCTAATTACAATGCCCCAAACAGGCATTTTAATTTAAAACTCAAACCTTTAGAGATGCTCAGGGCTTAAAGGGCAGACAGACATGGGAATTTCTGGTCCTATCTGACACCAGCTTACAAAATCACTGATCCTCCTCATCATGCCTGATCTTTCTACTTATAAGATTAGGGTAATGTAGCTTTTTGTAGAATTATTGTAAAGCTGTACTAGTAACATTTGAAAATGACACATCTAAGATGCATGAATAAAAAGGCCTATACATTTAAAATCTTTAGCACTAGAAAATTAACCTTGTCTAGCTATGCAAGAATAGCAGGCCTGTGCCAGACAATATTGCATTTCAGGCAATATCAAGCAATCTCAAATGAACATAATTTTACCTGTAAAAATGTTCTGTATTCTTCACTAGATACTCCTCCCTCTGCCATTCTCATCCTTTCTTCCTCATCCAGTTGCTGTGCAATAGAGGATAGCTCAACAGGACTGAAGTATTCACCTTGCAGCAAATTATTCAGACAGTGCTGAGCACACAATGAGCCTTCTTGCTAATAATGAAAGAGAGAGAAAAAAATAGAAAAAGAAAAAAAATCACCCCAGATTAATGCAAACTATGTCAAATGACTCAAATGTTTCATTCTGGCAAACTTCCTGCCCTCCCCACTCATGCAGAATACCATATATTCTTTCAATGTATTACACTGCAAGCTACAGACTACAATCCTCCCATCAACTTGATGGGACAAAACCCAACATGCATACTACCTTATCTCCTTAAGGGAAATAAATTTAATGTAAAAATTGTTTTTGAAAACACCATAACTATTGCTAATGACCCAACAAATCACACAGAGACTCTGCAACCATTAGAACAATGCATTCTATCCTCTTCCAAAACATCAATACCTGAAAATCAAAGAGTTTAGATCTCTACTTCATTTGTACATTCTACAAATGTTTCTACTCTACAAACATTTTCTATAACAGACACTCTCGTTATTTTTTAAATTTTCTTTTTTTCTAGGTATGGCTATTGACAATCTGCTCTCCACGTTATTGCTGAGAAAGTGATTAGGAGCTGGAGGAACAATAAAGCTCCTTTTCCACATGAAATTTACATATAGGAAGTAGATAAAATAAAGTCATACCACTAGTTTCAAAATCTTGAAAACAATGATGGGGAAACAAGAAAAAAAAATGAAATTCAGTATATTAAAGAAGGAAAATATTTTTAATTGATAGATGATTCAAATAAAAACCAGTTCAGATACTTTGTTACATGTCCAGCACATTACATGTAATAGAATTATAATATAAGACTTCTAAAACGTCAGCACAAATTTTAAAACAGCTAATTAACAATGTCAGTCATGCTTTTGTAGCACAAATTTAAAAATCTCAGATCTGAATGAATGCATGACAGGCTCATTTTCATATCTGAGATAAAATACTGCCCCATAAAAAAAAAAAAAAAAAACAAAACACAAGGTAAATCAACAAGCATCTTCCCATGAAAAGCAACCCTTTTCCACGAATAACTGTAACTCCATGTGCAAGACAAGTAACATCAGTTGAAAAAACTGCTTTTCTCTTTTGTTTTAATCAGTCTTCATTTTTATTTACATTAAGAACTCTCCTACACATGCTCTTCATTAAAAACAAAACCCCTCAAAACAAAACAGAACACCCCTCCCTCAAGCCAGACCCACAGAAACTAAGAATACAAGAACATGCGTTTGAGGAATATTCTTTAAAATTCCATAAAAGCATCATACAAATCATATGTAGAACTCTCCCATGATCTCCCTTACAGCTGAAACCTCGAAAGTTCCCTTTTCTCCAGAATCTTCCTATGGCTTCATCACTCAGTTGAGCAATGAGTTACTAAAGCTCCACTGTCCGTACAGCCAGGCTTCAGTGGAATCCGGGAGCCGCCTCCAGCTCGTGCCCTTCCTGCAGCAAGGAGCTCAAGACTAAACACCAGCTTCTCTCCCTCTGGGACCACATCCCTACTGCTGGTCATACGACGAAACTGCAACAGAAGAACCTGCTCAACAATCACAGGCTTCCCCATGAGAATAACATGAAACTGATTTAGAAACGGAGAGACAGTAAAATACCACTGAAAATTAATTACATACTAATTTCACTAAAAGGAAACTTTGTAGTAATAAAAAGTTAATTCAACATGCTAATTTCACTAAAAGGAAACTTTGTAGTAATAAAAAGTTAATTCATGCTGTGATAAGCTAGGCCACGTAAGAAAAGAATACATTTTGTTAAACTGTTTTCAAAGCCAGACTGAAGGTCACTGAAGCAGAGGCCATCACGGCTGAAATCCAACACTCACCCTCTGAACAGCAGCTACTTAACACCACAACACTTGCCAAATTTTGAAACCCAAACCTACTCCCCCAGTTTTTATGGATTTCAGAACAGGAATTTTTTAAAGGAAGGCACACAGCTATTTTACTTGACTTCTTAAGGAAACCAATCCTACATAACAAAACAAAGTAACAGAACTAGTATTAAGATGAACACAATAAAGTGGAAGAGACACTGGCAAAGTGCAAGAAAAAATTCAATTACAATTTGAACAGCATTAAAACAGAAATTGGTCATATTTGCGAAGCTGGATAAATCCCAGCATTTCACAGCAGCACTTGTCCTCCAGAACAGGAAACACTGTTCGGCACACAGCAGCACACTGCATGAACTGCGATGTCTCTAGCGGCTGTCCCACTCCATGCTCATTCACAAGCACAGCCAAGCCAGGCTCGGTGACGGATGGCTGTGCGAGCACAGGGACAGCCCCGCCTGCCGCTGCCCATCCTCGTACTCATTTCTCTGCCATGCGAGCTCTCTCTCAAGAAACACAAGTGGCTGCAGCCTACACCTCCCCGCACTTGGGGACTGCATCGGCAGTCCCCAGAACACAGTCCCTGTGCTAAAGCGGACGCCGAGGCTCAGCCCTGGCTCTCCTTTCCCTGCAGGGCTGGCAGCGTCCAGCTGGGACGGGCCATAGGCACAGGCACCGTCGCGCGGGGGCCCCGGCTCTCCCCCGAGGCAGAGAACAAACCACTGCCAAAGGCTGGAGAGATGCCAGGGAGGGACAGCGCGGCCAGGCCCTACACAGGCCGAGCGCACCCCGGGGGCTCCGGGGGCTGCCCCGCGCTCAGCGCGGGGACGGGAGGCCCAGGCACCGCCCCAGCAGCTCCTCAGAGACAGCTCGCGAACCTCCCCCGTCTCGGCGGCCCAGACGGCCACAACCGACAGCGCTACATCCAAGGCGGGCGGGCAGCGAGACCCGCCCGCTACTCCCGCACTCTGCAACTCGCTCCCTCACTCACCCGCTCGTGGAAGATCGACTCCATGTTTACTGTGGCGGCCGCAACCCCCGCCCCACGTGACCCGCCTGGCCAATCGCAGCGCCCGCCGCCCCCCGGCCGCGCAGGGCCGGCCCCGCTGGCTGCGCTCGCCGGCCCGGCACCGCTCCTCCCCGCACCGGCCCGGCACCGCTCCTCCCGGTACCGAGCGGAGCAGCGCCCGGCCCCGCCCGCTCCTGCCTTGTGCTCACCAGCCCCCAGACCCTCCTGGTCCGCTCACAAAGCCGCAGTAACTGCTTAACCACTGCCCCAAACAAGCCTACAGAGGAAACCCAGAAAGAAACTTAACCCGGTCCAGTTTCTGGGTAACATTCTGGGTTTGTGGAAGTATTCCTTTAAAGGCTAGTTCATGAAATAGCTATAAACACGTGGATTCCACACCACACACAACAATAACATCATAAATGATTTTTGCATAGTTTATTCTATAGTTCTTCCTCTCCTTTCCACATTAGGGAAGAAATTTTTCTCAACGCTTATGGACTAATGGAATTCCTGAACACATATTAATCGTGTAATTAAATCAACTTCAAAAAGTAACACCAGAAATTAAACTAGCACTGATGAATTGCAGATGTCCTTTACTGTAGTATCCTCTCAGGGTAAAAACCATATTCCTGTTCTTTCAATATGTAAGGTAAGATGATGAATCAAACAAAAATGTCTTCCTTTTCATCATCAGCTTTTATCTCCATGTTGCTTCTTCACCAGGCTTCAACTCCCTGTGCAAAAAAAAAAAACCAAAACAAACAAAAACCAAGAGGGAAGAGACTAAAATTAGTATCTTTCTTTCTAGAATAATTATTAATAAATGTACTTATTTGTGTTAGTTTATATTCAACAATACCTTCATTGTGAGATTCATGTAAAATTTTAACTTTCCTTGCAATTGCTGTCAGTTAAAAATCTTTCCATACTGATAAACTTCCTCCTTTCTTTCAAAAGCTTCAATGGATTGAGTCCTCTGAATTTCCATTCATTTAAATGGAAGCACAGAACAGCTGAATTCTAAGGAGTTAACAGACTTTTAATTGGATCCTAAATGAAAAATTCTACTTCTTTTAAATATAATAATTCATTGCTTTAGTGGAAAGAGAGGTGTGAAAGAAGAAGGGATTTTTACTAGATGCTGACATTGCAGCCCAACTTCACTAACAAATACATTAAGAAAAGTGCTAATGTACCAATGGGGTAGATTATGTCAAAAGCTTTCTTTCTTACTCAAAATTAATTTAGGTGAGGCCAGAGTTGGAAGAAAAATCCACTGGCAAACTGATAGCACTCCTACTATCAGTGTTTATGCAACATGACTTTTTCCCCTCTTCATTTGTTAACCTGATGATCTAATACAGAATTAGAACTGACACAGATGAGTCAATGTCTGCAGTTCTCTGATGTAAATACTCCCTGAGGAGTCAAGAGCCAGAAAACCCAAACTGATCAGTGCATACAATGACATAATTCAGTGAAGATATAGCAGCATGTATGTTAATTTTCAAGAACTTGGTAATTATTTTTAAGTACCAGACATTTATAAGAAGTATTTGGTTAAAAAGCACTGTGATAATTTTAAATTTAAGAGCGAAAATTATAACTCCAGCACCATGTTTCCTGCTGAAGTTATAGAGTCAAAATAATAGTTTCCATATTTCATGACCAAGAACTTGACATTTCATGACCAAGAACATGACAGTAGCTAATGATCCTTTCTTTCATGAAGATAGCTCCTAAAGATTCCATTTTCAGAGGGTATTACTGACCTAAAACACTTCATGAATGCTTGATATTTTTAGGCCTTTCTTCCCCTTTTTTGGTTACATTCATAACTAAAAAAGAACTGAGAAGCACTTTGAAAAATAACTATATATGTATATAAGAGGCATCATAAAGCAGACCTTTTATACAATAAGCTCTTGTTTCTGAAGGCAGACAATCTTTCATCATTCCATCTGTCCAAATAGCATCCAATCACAAATCCTAAGGGAACAAGGATGTGAACCCAGTGTTCACGCACAGCTTGGGCGAAATTCACCATGACTGCTAGAAAGAAAAGCATAACAGGTAAGAGGTACTAATAAATCCACACTTGCAAACTGTTGCATGCTTGGCACCTTTACTCTCACTTATTAGGATTCTACAATGACATAATACACGTGAGGGCTATCAAACACTCCCTAGGAGACACATGCTGTTCTCAAACCCATACCTGGGTTTCTTAGAAATAATCCTAACTGTTCACCATGGGAAAAAGAATTTCATCCTAAAACAGGACAGAAATAGACACATCTCTTTAATTTACTCATTAAAGCAACTCTACAGAAGTTTGCTGCTCTGTAAAACCTTAGGAACACTTTCATAGCCTAAACTCCTGTAGGACATTTTATTATCTGTGTCAAGTATCAAAGACAAGTTGTATATTTAGTGGGGAGCTGACAGATAAGAAAGGACAGTTCTGAAATAAGGAAGAACATTTCTAAAATCACAGAATGACAGAATTATGACAGCTGGGATGGACTTCTTGAGATCATCCAGTCAAACCTCCCTGCCAAGGCAGGATCACCTGCAGCAGATGACACAGGAACACATCCAGGTGGTTTTTTAATGTCTCCAGAGAGGGAGACTCCATGACCAGCTGTGCAGTGCTCTGTCACCCTCAGTTTATAGAAGTCCTTCCTCATCTTGAGGCAGAACGTCTTGTGTTTTAGTTTATGGGCACTGCTCCTTGCCCCGTTGCTGGGCACCAATGAAAGAGTCTGGCACCCACCTTTGAGGTATTGACAGGCATTAACGAGATCCCCTCGCATTCTTCTCTTCTCCAGACTAACGAGCCCCAGCAAACCTTTCCAACCCAACCAAAGCCTTCCCGACTGGGGGCTTACACGCGATACCGGTGAAGTCTGTCACACACAGCCAAGGGCTCGGAGCCCGGCCGGGTCCCGAGGGCGAGCCCCGCTCCCGCCGCGGCCGCTGTGGGGCGGCCCCGCAGCACCCCCCGCGGGACCCCCGGGCCCGGCCGCGGGCTCGGGACACGGCCCCACCACCTCCCGGCTGAGCCGCCCCGGCCTGCCCGGGACGCCGACCGCCCCTCCAGCAGCAATAGCGCCATAAAGCCCCAGGGCTGAGGGGCGCTCCCGCCCGCCGCCGTGCCCCGGCCGAAGGGGTAGGGGACAGGGCGAGGCGCTCCCAGGGAGGTCCGACCGATCCCGATCCCGATCCCGATCCCGATCCCGATCCCGATCCCGATCCCGCCCCACGCGCGACCCCGCCATTACCGCTGCTCGCGCCAGCGCCGGGACCCGCAGCGGCCGCGCCAAGGGCACCGGGAACGGGCGGGCCGGGCGAGACCACGGGCGGCGCAGCGGCGGGGGAGGAGCGCCCTCCCCCCGGCGGGCTCGCGGTGGTGCCGCCCGCTACCCTTCCGCCGGCTGTCCCTCCTCCCCGCCTCCCGCAAGATGGCGGCGAGCGCGGCGCGGGCTGGGGGTGGTTGAGGGCGCAGGTATCGGCTTTTTCACATCATCCTCCTCTTCCCCTTGTTCTCGTCTCGGACTGGAGTGGGCGCAGGGCTCGCCCCCGTGACCCCTTGCCCGCCCGGCGAGAGGCCAGGCCCGGGCCCGGTGCGGCGCTGGAGCCCCGGAGCCCCGCGCGGAGCCCCCGGCCCGCCCGCGCTGTGTCCCTGGTCGGGCAGGCCCTGGGTTTGAGGGGTCGCCTCTCTGGATGTGCCATCTCTGGGTGCCCCCATCCAGCTCCGTGGAGCTGCTGTTAACTGCGCTGCTCCTAGGGATTCTTAAAAAAATTATTCTTAATGTATATTGTAGAAAATTAACCGCACCTCTTTGTAATAAGACCTGCAAGAGTAGAATGTTAATATCCGAGACTTAATTGGAATCGAGCAGCTGTACTGAACAGTATTAACACCGTTAGCCTGCATATTTTCAGGAATATGTGAAGCTAGATTTCAGTAAATTGAATTTTTCTTTGTGTCAGTCAACGAAACATTTTGTCCCCCATTCAGATTAGTTCTTTTGGAGATTAAACACTTGGAGAGGAAAATGACATCGATTATCAAGTTGACTACGCTCTCGGGGGTGCAGGAGGAATCTGCCCTCTGCTATCTTTTGCAAGTAGATGAGTTTCGTTTTCTTTTGGACTGTGGCTGGGATGAAAACTTTTCTATGGATATTATTGATTCTCTGAGGAAGTAAGTAGTTCAGCTCATACACCTACTTTTAAAATAGGGCTTGGTCTATCTAGAAAGTTTTCAAAGTTTCATGCAGTGGTATAATGTGTGCTAAATGCAGAATTGTTCATTTGTTTTGTTTTGGGTATATTTCACGTGAAGGGAATCACACTGCTGAAACATTTCCCGCAAAAACTTGGGATTCTTGTCAGTCCAGTGAGTTGTGTCTCAACTGTAATTCTCAAACTGTTCAGTTTTTGTTTTGGTTTGGATGATTTGTTTTATTGTCATAAATGTGACACAGTTTAGGGGAGACTGACCTTGACTCTCAGCTAATTTGGAATTGTTAACTAAGTTTTTAATAGGAAAGGAAGCCTTCCAGCAAGCGGGCTGAAGACAAAGCATTTCAACTCATGGGTCTTGTTTCAAGTTAAATAGACTGTTAGGAAAACACCTTCTGTCAGGACACCAGCCCTGCAAAGGGAAAAAGCCCCTCCAAAATCTATCTAGACTTCAATACTGAACTTCTTCAGGTGTACAGCAAGGAGCTGTGCTGATTGCGTTAGGACTGAAACATGGAAATTTGGGAGAGAAACTGTGCTTTTTGTTATGGTTTTGTAGCATTGAAACGCAGTGTTTGAAATCTTTTAAGTGAGGATTGTTAGGTACTGAGGATAGTTTATAAAATTTTTCAAGTGTCTTATCTAAGAAGCAATTAGATAAAATTCCCTTTTTCATAACAGCCATCAAGAAGAATGGCTGTGTGCCCCACTTACTATGCAAGGGAACAAAAAGCTGTCAGTTCTGCTTGTATTTTCATTTGTTACATGTGTTTTATGCCCTCAAGTTTTTTAGTTATGATATGTAGAAAGGTTTTAGTCTGAGTTCTAATTTTATGCAACACTTTGCAAGGAAAAAAAAAGTTTGTAAGAGTAATAAAATCCCCCAAAGTGATGTGCTACTTTTCTTAAATGATATGTTTGATATTTTCTATATTTAAAGAAATATATTTTGATTTGATCTTTATCAGTTTAAGGATTGCTGTGTCTTTGGTCCTGTTACTTGGTCACTCTCATCAGAAGAAAAGTTGTGTCTGTTTTGGGGTGCATAAGCAATTTGTAGCACATCTGTACTCATAATATTCTTGGTCCCTCAGTTAATTTACTTTCTGCTGTCCACTTATATACTAAGGTCTTTCTCATCTGGAGTTTGATGTGAAAGTTTCTTCTTCAGATCTTCAAAGTTATGCTTTCTGAAGTTACTTGTGTTTTTAAGTACTTGAACATTAGGAAAGACCTGTACGCTTTAATTATGATTTTGAAAACTGCCAGTTCCTGAAGGGTTTAAGTTTTGTAGTTTGGTGTTCAGACTGTGTATGTATTCTCAAAACAGCCCTAGCAGGAGATAGACAAAACCATACAGAGCTCCTTTCAGTGGCTTTTGTTGACCCTCTTTTTATAGGCATGTACACCAGGTTGATGCTGTTCTTCTTTCCCACCCTGATCCTCTACACCTTGGTGCACTTCCATATGCAGTTGGAAAAATGGGACTGAATTGTGCCATTTATGCAACTATTCCTGTATATAAAATGGGACAGATGTTTATGTATGATCTCTACCAGGTATGTTTAAGTTGGTGCTTTCATCCACAACACCTTTGATATGGTGGAGTGTTTGAATGCTCTGTACCTCTTTGTTTGTTTTAGTCCCGCCATAATACTGAAGATTTCACCCTCTTTACATTGGATGATGTAGATGCAGCCTTTGATAAGATACAACAGCTGAAGTTTTCTCAGATTGTGAACTTAAAAGGTAAAGTTGTCACCAAAGCCTCAAGACATTATTATTAGTGAAAGGCAACAGAGCAGTTAAGAGTTAAAGAAACTTCACTAAAGGGACTGAGTTTTGAAATACTGTGTGTTTTGCAGTGCTGATTCATTAGCCTCATGTCAGTCTGTATCACTTGCAATTGTATCTAGAAATTGATAGAATTTTCACTTAATGAGGAGGAGGTCATGCCAAACAATGTTTAGATGTTTGTTTCTCTTTTGTGTTTTTGTAACTTCTCTTGGAATTTACTGATGTCTGTTAAAAGTGTTTACTTACCTCTGGCTGCAGATACCTCAGAACTCTCCATAGCAATAACACAAGGGAAAGCTTTGTAGAGCAGGTTGCAGAGATGAAGTTACAGCACGTGCATGATTTAATGTGGAGATCTTCAGTGACTCAGATCATAATCAGTGTAGGGTATTGCTGACACCTGTGACAATCAGCAGCTTTCCACTCGTGTTGAATGTAAAGATCAGAAAAAAATAAAAACTCCTCTTGAACAGAGACACGTGCAGGCTGACCACCAGCAGTTTGTCTCTGAAGTGCAGTTTTACAGGTTCATGAATAGTGCTGCCAAAATACCTGCCTTCTTATTTGGAAAATAAGAAGAAGATGTTGTCCTTGAAAAACTGTTGGCCCCTTTTTGATGTAGTTGTAGCAAGGCTATGTCTGGCAATTTTTACATCTAAAGAGCAGTGTTATCATACAACTGTTTTAAAACAACCAACTTCTTTTATATTTAATGGAGGTGATTTGGAAAGACTTGATGGAGGCTTTTAAGACGATAATATATGTTTAATTATTAATTATTACCATGCATTTAATGCAGCAGAGTCAGTGAGTAATGGTTGTGGTGGTCTTGTTTTAATCTGACAAACATACAAGCTGGTATCAATGACAAGGGAGCAACAGTGCATTTGAAAAATGTATCAGGTGCTGAAAAGTTCTCTCATCCCTGACTGCAATACCTTTTCTGAACACCTTTTCTGCTATGATTTAACTTGCATTTGTCATTCTGGAAAGCTTCCAGATTGTATAATTTATATAAGTTTTCCTAGGTAACCTCAAAAGTGAATGATACAGTAAGCATTTAGTATTGCCCCAGAGAAGATCCTGGCTTTCATCATTATGCTTGCTTTCTTGTGATATGTTTTTTATATAACTTACTGTTGTTTATGTCTGTAGTTACAGCGTCTCTGAGTATCAGTGGGAGGTGGAGGGAAGAAGTGATCTTTGCTTTAGTTTCTTTATTCTGGAGGAAATATAAAAGTGAATTGCAAAATATATTGACATTACTGCTTAGATGGGAAGGACAGATATGACTAGTTTTTCATACTTAATTTGATATTTTTCTCAGTAGTAATTTGGGTATTCAGTTGTTTAAAGTTACTATGTCTTGTTCAGAATAATGGATTTTAATATGTGTAATCTACCTAAAATACTGAAAACCTTTGTAGGCAAAGGACATGGTTTGTCAATCACACCACTGCCAGCTGGTCACATGATAGGAGGCACAATTTGGAAGATTGTCAAGGATGGGGAGGAAGAAATTGTTTATGCCGTTGATTTCAACCACAAGAGGGAGATGTAAGTTCAACATAGTGGTGTATAGTTCTTAGCTGTGTTAGCTGTGTGTCATTTAGTGGGTGATAAAGAGGTGTGGAAGCAGAAATGCATTTCCAGTTCTAATAAGACCACTAATTTCATTTGCATCCAGATTAATCAGTTTGAAGCAAGCATTAGCTCTGGGTTTCTTTATTCTATTCGGTTTTATTTATTTGTAAATTTGAAGCAGGAAGCATTCAGCAGCTGAGTAGTTTGGTTTCTGTACATGCAAATATCTGGAATCTAGCTGCCTTATTTTTTCTTGTAAAATAGAAATGCAAAAAAGTGAGATTTTTCCTTTTTTCCACAGCCATCTGAATGGATGTTCCTTGGAAATGTTGAGCAGGCCTTCATTGCTTATTACAGATTCATTTAATGCTACTTATGTACAACCCAGGAGGAAGCAAAGGGATGAACAGCTGCTGAGTATGTATTGTTTGGGCTTCAAAAATATCAGTAATGTGATTTATTAGACACTACAAATTATTTTTCTATGAGAAATTCATTAGCATTTAAACTTAAGAACCCTCATTAAAATGTAACAAGTTTTGAATTACTCTTTTCTGATAATACTGATCCTGTTAGTTAAATGTTTTCCTAACAACAATGAACTATATTTGAAAACAGTGTATTTTACCCAGTATCCTTAAATCTCTTCAGGGATTTTTAAATTACCTTCCTCAGCACTTTCTTTTTTTTAAACTCCATTTTCTGTTGGTTTTTAATAAAAAAACCCAAAAACAAACAAACAAAAGAAAGAAATACCAAGGCAGAGAGATCTTCAGAGCTACTGAGGAAACTCCAGCTCCCTTTAATTTTTGGTGGGAGTGTGGATTTGGATCTCTTTTGAAGTTTCATTTGTTTCTGTGTTCAGTATACTTTTGAACATGATTGCTAGTGTGATATAACAAAAAAAAATCCAAGCCACAGCACGAACCTTCTAACTTTGGTTCAAGTATAAATAGGCTTTTGTTTTGTTTTTAATTCTTCCTAGCTAATGTTTTGGAGACATTACGAGGTGATGGAAATGTATTAATAGCCGTGGATACAGCAGGCAGAGTTCTGGAGCTTGCTCAGCTTCTTGATCAGATCTGGAGAACAAAAGATGCAGGATTAGGAGTCTACTCTCTTGCACTTTTGAATAATGTCAGCTACAATGTAGTGGAATTCTCTAAATCACAGGTTTGTTTTGATTTTAAAATCCAGTTATGAAGAGTAAAGGAACATTTCTGCAAAAGCTTTTCTTTTTAATGGTAAAAAATGGCAAAATACTGGGGGAATGTCCTTCTGTAGTACATGTTTGTGTCTCAGCTCTTTTGATCAAGTAATACACTGTCCACTTTGTGACAGTGGGCATGTTTCTTGATACTGATTTCTGTCTTTACAATAAGACTTGTTAGCATAGTTTATAGTTGTTGAAAAAGAGAACTTAAAGTACTTGTTTCAGTGTTGGTTATGCTCAACATTATTTCTTCACCTGCTAAGAAATACTGAAGTAATCATGGGCATATTGCATCCTGTACTTCATATGAAGCTTGTACTGTTGAACAACTTGTATTTGTGTAGATAACTTTCTCTAATACATATTTTAGGTTGAATGGATGAGTGACAAGTTGATGAGGTGCTTTGAAGACAAGAGAAACAACCCTTTTCAGTTCCGCCATCTCTCCTTATGTCACAGTCTGTCTGATCTGGCTCGAGTGCCTAGTCCAAAAGTTGTTCTTGCGAGTCAGCCTGACTTGGAGTGTGGGTTTTCTAGAGATCTTTTCATTCAGTGGTGCCAGGATTCCAAAAACTCCATAATTTTAACTTACCGCACTACACCTGGAACATTAGCGCGATTCCTGATTGATAATCCTTCTGAAAAAGTTATAGATATTGAGGTAAGAGTTGTTTCTATAACTCCAGGTTTTTATCTGGAGTCCTGTGGGCAAAACTGAACATAATTTCCCTTTGATCTTCTGGAAATGCTTCTAGTGGTGGTGAGAAACCTGAAATCAGTATGTTGCATATTTATCAGATTGTGGATAAATTTACATGAAAATAGGTCTCCTACTGAGAACCGCAAAATGCTTTTTCACGGCGTGGCAAAATTAATAGAGCTGAGCATGAAGTTCCTTTTAAATATTTATTCTTAGACAACTTGTTCCTTTGTGTTTCTATTATAATAGAAAAAAGTCTGCTTGCAGCTGACGTACAAATTACCACATGTGATGGGTTAGTCTTGCTGGAAAATTCTCCCGGTTTGGGTGAGAGGAGAATCAAGTCAAATTAATATAATATATCCCAACAGGATTAGAAGGATAAGCAAATGCTGGAAATTAGGAGATAATTAATTGCTATTCATGCTTTCAAATTGTTTTTAATAATCTGTACACCTGTGTCTACTTCTTTCTGGTGGACATTGTTAATTTATGGAAGTCCCCTGTGATTGCAGTGAAAATTTCAATACTGATGATGCAGCTTTATTTTGGTTTTAGATTGGATTGAAATTAATTGAATTATAGTATTAGATTATTGCTAGAATTCAGTTTATTTAAAGTGAGCTGTACTCAGAAAACAAGAAAAAAAATCTACCGTTGTTTTGCCAGCTAGTATGACCTTTCGGGGTTCTTCTGGTTTGATGTTAATGATAGAAAACTAAAAAATACACTGCTTATCTAAGAGTATTTGCCTTCACTTATTTTTGGAAAGCTTAATTGATTTTAATATTTTAGAAATGCTTTCATTTAAAGTAGACTGTACAAATTGGCACTATCATGATGTCAAGGTACCACATTTTTGCCATAGTCTTGTTTTGTGTGCGATATACAATTTATACTTGCCCTTGGTGCCCAAGGACAAATATTCTTGTCAGCAGCATATAGTAGAAGTATTAAAGTTGTGTCAGCTACTCACAATAACATTAACTTTAATTCCATCTCCAGTTGAGAAAACGTGTCAAGTTGGAAGGAAAAGAACTTGAAGAATACCTAGAAAAGGAAAAACTAAAGAAAGAGGCAGCTAAGAAGTTAGAGCAGTCTAAAGAGTAAGTATGTTTGCTCATTCTGCTGTTACGGTCAGAGTTGAGATTTCTGTGTGATTATTCTTCTCCTTCAACTCTTTTCAGGCCTAAATGAGAATTAGAGTTTCAGTAGCCTTGTCTGAGGGCCCTGAGGAATCAGGAGTGGTTGTCTTTAATCTGTTGTCCCAATAGACCCAGTTTCATCTGCAGTTGGACTGTGAGCTCTTTCTCAGATACATAAACTGTCCTTGGCCTTGGTTAGTGTTATGTCAACTGTTATTTTCTAGTCAGCATGTTTATGTAATATGAAACCTGAAGAAAAAAAAAGAAGTGCTAGGTGTTTTTGGAATGTCATTTCAGGGCAGATATTGATTCCAGTGATGAGAGTGATGCTGAAGAGGATATTGATCAGCCAACTTTACATAAGACCAAACATGATTTGATGATGAAAGGTGAAGGTAGCCGGAAAGGAAGCTTCTTCAAACAGGCAAAAAAATCTTACCCAATGTTTCCAGCTCCTGAAGAAAGAATTAAATGGGATGAATATGGTGAAATTATCAAGTATGTGGTGGTAATGTATACTAACATAGTAGCTATGAAATAAACAAAAACTAGAAGGAATTAAATTCACCATTCTGTCTCTTTTGCAGCATTGCTATATGCTCTTCAAACTGTTAAGTCTTAGACAAAGCTTATGATAAGGATTGAAGCTGCAGAGTGCTTATCCTTGACCTTTTCACTCCAGGCTCTTTTTAAAAATCTTTTGAGATAGAAGATTTTAAATTCTTTTAACCTGACTTTTTTCTGCTTTAAATTTCACTTAAATTTGTGAGGTGAGAAAACACTGTCCATCCTAACAAAATACACTGAATTTGTCAGCTTTGCATAAGGAATACTTGCTAGAAATCCTCAATTTGCTAGTATTTCCTAAGTTATTCAAGTTCTTTAAGATGGGAAGGTCATCTTTTCCAAATCAGCTCTGTTCAAGTATGGAAATATTTGGCAGGTGTAGTAAAATTGCTGGCAATAACAGTTACAAAAAATATTAGTAGTAATAATCAGCACTGTTTGTTTTTATATTAGGTAGTGCTTTGGTTTTACTCTAAAAAGCAAAATACCTTTCATTCTTTAGACCTGAGGATTTTCTAGTTCCAGAGCTTCAAGCAACAGAAGAAGAAAAAAGCAAATTAGAGTCTGGTTTGACAAATGGAGAGGAGCCTACGGACCAGGATTTATCAGATGTTCCTACCAAATGTATTTCTGCAACAGAATCCATGGAAATTAAGTGAGTGACTTTGTTCTTCTCAATTCTAGAGCACTGGCATGGGTACAGTGCAAATTGGGTAAAAGGCTAGCTTGGATATAAGAAAGTGGAAAAGGACTTGATTTTTGTTTATTTTTTTCCTCAACCTAAGCTGTATTTTACTAGTCTTCCTGGGAGCACAGAAGAGTCTTATGGCTCCCAACTCTTAAAAAAATTGGTGTACTTCCTGTCTTATGGAGACACTGGAAGAGATAGAAGAAATTATGTAATAGTACATTAGCATAGATACTTAAGTATGTTTTGTTGAAAGGATAACATATTCAAATATGCTTATTTCATGGATAATTTTTTTTGATAAATATGTAAGTGAATTTTGTGAATGTAGTGTTAAATACACACATGCTAATATTTGACAACTGTATTTTACAGATCCATAATATACCTTGTGCTGTCAGCTTTTGTTGATGTACAATAATTAAAAAATACCTTAACAAAGTATTTTGGAGCACTCAAAGGTTTAATCCTTTACACTAAACATATTATTGCTGGGTTTTTTATTGAAACTAGAGCCAGAGTTACATACATTGACTATGAAGGACGTTCAGATGGGGACTCAATTAAAAAAATTATTAACCAAATGAAACCAAGACAACTGGTGATTGTCCATGGACCACCTGAGGCCAGTCAGGACCTTGCAGAATGTTGCAGAGCTTTTGGTGGAAAAGATATTAAAGTTTACATGCCCAAGCTTCATGAAACTGTAGATGCTACAAGTGAAACTCACATTTACCAGGTAAGGTAGTGGAATTTTTAGTTGTGTAACTACTATGGACTGTAGTAGAGCTGTATGAGCAGAATGTAATTTGTCCTCTGTTCTTTGGGAGAGGAGAGGTGGTACCACCTGTGAGTTCAATTAGCTTTGTGTGATCAAGGCATTAGTTGTGTTTTTCTGCCTTTTAGATAAGCATTCTCCTGAGGCTTATTGTTCATAAGTGTTTGAAAGCTTGAATGTGATGTCAGTGTGTTTTTACCTGAAGTGCAAAAGACAACATTTGTGGCCACAGGGGCATCAGTTTGCTTTATTGAAGTATGTACAAATTTATAATGCCTATATTTAGAATACCATTGTATACCAGCTGCAGTTGAGGATTCTCTTTAGAGTCTCAAATGGAGCCTTAAGGAGCTAGAATAAAAAAATGCTTCATACTTAAATAGTACCTAAGAGTGAACATGTAAAATTAGGAACAAGTTAATGATAAAAACAAGTAAGATACCCATTCCCCCAAAAAACTTAATATGATGATTATTGGAAAGTAAGGTTATGATAATGTATTGCTGTGTGTTAGCCATGAAAATTAAATGCAATATATTAAGTTTTGAATAAGAAAGCTGCAATAGCTTGTGTGAATTATGTGAAAATTGTGTATGTTCGTAATTTAATTTTTGAAGTTGTTTAGAGGGAAGTCTCTCACAAACATTTTTTTGCAGCTGTCCTTTATTCCTTTGTTCTTTTAAAGTTAATAGAAAAACATTGGTAGAATTGTTGAAAGAGGTACTTCTGTTTCTTTCCAGAGAAGAATCTGTTATCCTCTAGAAAGTAGAAAATTCCAGTTATTATAAATCATCTAGTTATGGCAGCCTTAAAGCAGTTTGTTTTCTGCTTGTGGTTTGTTTGTTGTTGGGATTTTTTGTTTCTTTTTTAAGGCTATGAGAGTTGCTAGTGTGTAAGAAATGACCCAGGAGAAGTGCAGTGGCAAAGTTGACTTTGAAAATAATAGGTGTGAGTGAAGTGTCAGTGTCACAGTGTCGTTTGAGTGGGCTGTGCTGCGCATGGGTGGGTAGCTGGTGGTTCTTTCACATGGTTGCAGCCTTGATTGCACTATGGGAACCATGGACCTTCTAATGTGGATAACAATCTCTAAGAGTTAGCTTTATTTAAAGGATTAAAGTCCCAGTGTCCACCAGAGGAATCAGGGTAAAGGCATTTAAAAGTCTCGTATTTACAACATCCTTTCTTACAATAAAATAGTAATTATAATTTTTTCGGAGGATTGAAATTTGAACTATTCATCAGCAACCTAAATGTATCTATAGAAACATCCTCTGAATTTGCTAGGACCAACTGGGGAACAACTTGGCTGTAAAAAAGATTTCTGGTTTTAAAAATAAATGATTGTTCTTACTGTAAATTTAAGTCAAGTTTGCAGTTCTATAGGTTCTTTTTTAATTTTAGCCAAGATGAGAAAGGTGTTGATCTCTGCTGCTTTTTAAGTTGTGATATGAGTGTTACATATATTAAATTTTAAAGTATCTTGCCTTGGTGATACCAGTTCCATCCTTTCTCTCCACAAGAGTGCATGAATCAAACCAACTGAAAAGATGGTGAAGAGAAACTTGCTAATCTTTAAAACTTGAAGTAAGACCTCTGTATTTTCCATGAAACTAGCAGTACTTTTATTTTTGTGCAACCCAGGTCAGGTTGAAAGATTCTCTTGTCAGCTCTCTTCAGTTCTGTAAAGCCAAGGATGCCGAGTTGGCTTGGATAGATGGTGTTCTGGACATGAGGGTTTCAAAAGTGGATACTGGAGTTATTTTGGAAGAGGGAGAGTTGAGGGAAGATGAAGACTTAGAAATGCAAGTGGATGTGCCTTCTTCAGACTCGAGTGTGATTGCACAACAAAAGGCAATGAAAAGCCTCTTTGGTGATGATGACAAGGAGATGTGTGAGGAGAGCGAAATCATTCCGACTTTGGAACCTCTGCCACCTCATGAGGTACAGAAATGATGCTGCTCTTTTATGAAGACCTTTGTATTCATTTGTGTTTTTCTAGTGCTTAGAGGTTGATACTGTGATCTTACTCAAATGAAAGCCTAACTGAAACTGGGTTTTTGGGCTTTGTTAAACCTGGTGCTGTTCTTTGTTCAGCTTTTACGCTTTTCAGTGAGGATGATCTTTTGCATCCATTAACCATATATTTATGAAATAAGATTTTAATTAGTGTGTGTCATATCTGTAATTAGTACATGCAGATAGAGAAAGTCAGTTGGTGTTAGTAATTTCAGGATTTTTATTACATTTTGTTGATGCTATGGAAGATACTTCATATACTTGAGATACAGATCTTTGACATTCATACATCTGCTTCTATAGTAGTGATTTGAGAGTTTATTAAATTTATCTTTTCTATAAATTTACCATAGCTCTTAAACTACTTAAACTTAGGAGATAACTATTTTATCTTTCTGTTGAATTATTCCAGTACCTTTTAATCCTGGAGATGCTTTTTAAGATTCTCTGTTTCACAGTCCTAAATGTAGTCTGTTCTGGGAGCTAGAGAATTGTGGAGACAGCTCTAAAGTCTGTTCAGACTCATGGCAGCCCTCATAGCACCCTGTACTCATCAGCAGTACAGCTCACCAGAGCTTGGTCCCTGGCATAGCATGGTTTGGAAGAGGGATCTTCATTGTAGCTTTCTATTTGTCTTCAATATGTGAGCAAAGAAAAACCTTTTGCTTTTTGTGATGGGTAACTTCTAAGGCCTTTCTGTCCTCAAGATGTATTGCTGCAGGTGAACAGAAATAGAAGCAGTTTAGAGTTCTGTAGTCTTGGCCACAGTGCTGCCAACACAATAATGAGATCTTTGGGAAAATGGAAGGTGTCAAATAGAAGCAGTAAAATTGTGTGTGTTGTTTTAAAGGTTCTTGGGCATCAATCTGTGTTTATGAATGAGCCAAGACTGTCTGACTTCAAGCAGGTTCTCTTGCGGGAAGGCATACAAGCTGAATTTGTTGGAGGAGTGCTTGTGTGCAACAACCTGGTGGCTGTCCGCAGGGTAGGTGTTCTGTGTTTTCATCTCTTTGAGAAATAATATTATAAAATGATACATATTATTTTAGTAATAAATAAATATTATTTTAGTAATAAAAGAAGTTTGTCTTTAATGTAAAGATAATAAATTGAAACATGTCTTTTGTTTCAGACTGAAACAGGGCGTATTGGATTGGAAGGCTGCCTCTGCCAGGACTTCTATAGGATAAGAGACCTTTTATATGAGCAATATGCTATTGTCTAAGAAAAATGCTGCAAAGGTGTTTTCACTTGAACTTTTACAGACAATGGAGGTTTCTTCCATTTCTGACTTTTTGTAGTTTTCTAATTTATATGGGAAACCTAATTCATAAAGAACAGTTAGCTGCCATGAACATGTGAGTAACTGCTACTGTTGTTCATAAATCTGTTGGTGCATTCCATGTAGTTGACTCTTCAACTGTTACAACTTGGCATCTCCCACATAACACATTATAAATGAGTTTATGATTATGAATGCTTCTCAGTAGGGGTTCAATTTGTCAGGGTATGTTTTGGTTTCACAGATTCTCTGTCAGAGAGTACAAAACATGTAAAAATCGTTCTTTTGTTCTAAAATAAGATTGGAAAAAGAGCTTTGGTTTCTTTGGTTTTGTTTGTTTTGGTTTCTGTGTGGTTGTTTCTGGTTTTGGTTGCTTGGGAGTTTTTAAGTAAGTTTGATTTCGGGAACAGTCTCAAGTATCTCCCTCTTTTGTTTTTAAATTGAGGTTAGTTGAAGTACATTATTAACAGCCTACTTAAAGCTAGACTGCTTAAAGTTTCCCCAGTGTTAATCTGGCTGCATGTGCTGTATCTGTTCCGTCTTACTGATTTGTTCTGAAACAGCATTTCATATTCTAATCTGCAGGATAAAAAAATTACTTGGGCAATTACTCCAAGAAGATTGGAATATATTTTCAGGTAGTTGAAAATACAGTAATTATGCTTGAGAGTAACTTCTGTGCAAACTTACAGAATTTGTAACTCCTAGCTCTTGCAAAATTATGCCAATTATAAAAACTTAGAAAAGTTCTGATTTTAATACTTTTCAAAGTCTAAAGCATTTATCCATGCACTGATGTTTGTTCAGAGTGCCACGAGCCATGTTCAGGCAGATCTTTTCTCTTGAAATCTGGGTTCATGTAATGTGTTTAATGATTTTGTACCATGTTCTGTTCTAGATGACAGTAGCTGCTGATGCTAGGAATTTACCTTACCTTTTAGGTAAGGATAAACACAGTTTTGAGTTCATTAATTTCTCAGAAATTAACTTATGAAAACAAATAGCCTCTCGAGTTTATTTAATCCTTTTCTCCCCATCCATGTGTGAAACACCAGCTTTGGCAGTGGAGAGTTGTTTGCTTTTTACATAAAACAATGTAATATATGCTTTTTGTGTGTATGCTTAAATAAAACCTTTTGAAAAAGTGGCAAAAAATAGCCCTGTGGGCTATCAATGGAAAGATAATTTACTTTGCAATTCATTCTCAACAAAAATTTTCTGTCTGATCTACAGACTATTCTGTTTAAAATAGTAGCTTAAAAGTGAAGACTATTAAACATTTGATAGAACTGTATACTAGAAATGTAAAAAACTTGAAAAGACAATACTGAGTGAGAATGTATTTTCTTACACAAAATCTAGGGATAACTAGATAGCTCAGTGTTGTGGGTTTTTTCTTAACAGCCTAGAAAAATGTGTATTTCTTTATATTGACATCCAGAACTTCATAGGAATGCTCTGGTTTTGTAGCAATGCTATGTAAATTTATATGATGATGAATACTTGTTGCTGAATACTATTGTATTACTACTGTTGCTGATACCAGTGAACTTTTATAAAGTGAATTACTTTGTACATAATCATATTGGCCGTAGGACTTTAACCTTGAGGACTTAGGATGGGAAGGGATCACATACGTCTGCATGAAAAACAATAATAAAGAAAAAAACCCTTAGGAAGTCAAAATAGTGCTGTTTTTAAAAAATGGATAAAGACAGCACAATGTGATCATAAACCTTTCTATCAGTTTTGTTTGTTTTTCTGACCTACTGATACAAATTCAGCTAAGATCACAAAATTTTAGTGTTATCAATCCATAAATTCTAGTGTGTGAATCCCAAATTATTGCTATCACTGAGGAAGAGGCTCAAGTATAAGCAAAACAGCTTCTTATTTTAGTCTATTCAGCATGAGTGTGACTGAAGTGTGAAATCAGACCTCAAAGCTGACATGCAAGGTGCAAGTAGTCAGCTGAGTGCTGGGACTGGAGTTCTGGACATCTGTAGAGAATGTATCACAGGCTGCACTGGTGCTGTGGGGCAGGTGTGCTCCTCAGCTGGGCATTCAGTGCATGTAAAGCAGTGTGCCCCTGAAGCCAGTGCTCATTAATTTTGCCTATTCTGCTGTCAGTTCCCTGATAAGTTCTTAACTATGATTTGCTTTAGACAGTAATTGAACTTCTGTGTGTGATTTTCAGAGTTACTAGTCTGGTTCTAGTTTTTATCTGAACTAAAAGATTGATTTCCCCTTACCTTCACAAAATGTCAGTACTGCCGTGATCTGTAAGTTGTGTTTTCGGATTTACATTTTCTTCATCAGCACTAAAAGTGTGCCATTTCTTACTCTGTACTCTGTTGTTCCTGAAGGTAAGAACATTAACTTCAAACCTAGTTTCAGTGTTCACCAATTAAAAATATTTCCTTCCAGTGCTCCTGGCTAGTTCAGATTCCTCACCTAAGAAGCACCAAGGGTATGTGGAGACAAGAAAGGTCTCTAATGAAAAGAAATAATTTTAGCGTTAGTTATTTTGCTGTTCCTATTATCAAAGCATAGCTTTACCCTGAGTTAGATAACATTGTTTGTGACAGTTTGATTTTTAATCATTTTGCTTTGACCATATGGGCTGGAGGTGAAGGTGACAATCATCTCCATTCAACAATATTTAGATATAACCAGATCCATTTCTCAAAATACGCTGTTAATGAAAAGGTAGGATGCCCAGCGTTCTGTCAGAGTAACAGTCTTGGGAGAGCATTTGAGATCTACTTGCTGCTACAACTTGCTTGAAAATGTAGGGATTTTCCCATATCTCTACCAGTTTTTAATTGGAGTCAAATGCTATTCATTAGGAATTAGCAAGCAGAGACATGCTCCCTCCCCACCCTCCAATCTAAATAATTGTTACAGATGGTTGTACCCTAAGACACTTGTTTTGTATAGAATCAAGATTTCTTTGATAAGGCATGACATGTATTACTACTTCAGGTAGTAAAGGAGAGTGTGTTGCCTTAAACCTGGCTCTGGCCGGGACAGGGTTGATTTTGTAGCAGCCAGGAGAGGCATGGCCAAGACCCAGAGGTTATTCCATGCCACCTCAGGTCATTTTCCAAGAATGGGTAAGGGGGTCCCTTCCTGGCAGTGGTAAGCTATTGTTGGGCTCCCTTTGACGCAGGGGTAAGCACTTGCATGGGAATTGCTCACTTCCCTTGTACGCTTCTGTTATTAATGTTGTTGCTGTTGCTGTTCATTTTCTTATTTCACTGCTGTTTCTGGTAAATTGGTCTTATCTCAACCCATGATCTTCAATTTTTGTCACTCCAATTCTTCTCTTCAGCCCCAAGAGGAGAAGGGAGGAGTGAGCAAGTGGCACATGTTTTGGAGGAAACACTAAATGGGAGAATACCATTCCTAAACTGTGAAAACTGCTAAAATGTTTTGAGTCTTTGTCAAAAGTAGTCTTACTTTAAGGATTGGAATGTTGCATGATATTCTGTTTCATGGCTTTTAGAGATGTTTTCATAGTTTTGAAAAGGAAGTGCTGGGGAAGCTGATCTCACAGCCAAGTCTGATAAAGAAATGTATCTAGTAACCACAATTGTAGTTCTTGGTCTGAAAATGGTGTAAGTCATCAGTGGTAGTTCAAAATGGGATAATGAAACTAGATCGAAAGAATCTATAAAATTGCCTGTTGGCACTTATTTTTAAAAATACTTTAAAAAGTATTAAGTTTTGCCTTCTCCTGAGACTTGTTCTGATTGGGTAAGAGATATAATACAAAGATGAAAATATCATAGAATCATAGAATGGTTTGGTTTGGAAGGGGCCTTAAAGAACATCTTGTTTCAGTGCTCTGCCATGGGCAGGGACACCTTTCACTAGACCAGGCTGTTCAAAGCCCCATCCAATCTGGTCTTGAACACTTCCAGAGATGAGCCATCCACAGCTTCTCTGGGCAGCTTGTGCCAGTATGTCACCCCCACTCATAGTGAAGAATTTCTTCCTAGTACCTAATCTAAACATACTCTTGTTCAGTTTAAAGCCGTTTCCCCTCATCCTAGCACTACATGCCCTTATAAAAAGTCTCTCCAGCTCTCCTGTAGGACCTCTTTAAGCACTGGAAAGTGCTGTAATGTTTCCCCAGAGCTTTCTCTTTTCCAGGCTAGACCACCCCAATTCTCTCAGCCTGCCTTCATGGGAGAGGTGCTCCAGCCCCCTGATCATCTTCATGGCATCCTCTGCTGTTCCAACAGGTCCAAGTCCTTCCTGTGCTGAGGACCCCAGAGCTGGATGCAGCACTGCAGGTGGGATCTCACCAGAGTGGAGTTGAGGGCAGATCCCCTCCTTTACTCTGCTGCCCACACTGCTTTGTATTGTATCCTGCAGTCCAGGATACAATTGGCTCTCTGGGATGCAGGAGCACATTGCCAGATCATGTCCATCCTGCACCACCAGCATTTATTTTGGGGGTCTTGTTATGTGGCTTGTTTCCTGCAAGTACAGAACAGTTGCAGGTCAGTGGTAAGTGAACTGATTCTTCCTTTCAGCTCTAACACTTCCTCACAGTGGTAGAAGTGGAATATAGTTACAATATAGTAACTATAGTTAGGAATATAGTATTTAGGAGAACAAGATTGTTTCATACAGTGAACTACAAGTTTTACTGGCTTTGACTGGTTGTGTATTACCACTGTGATAAGAAGTGAAAAATCAAAAAATACCAACCCCACTCCTGCATTATTTAGTAGAACTTCCAGTAAGCCCTGTAACTGTTTTCCTGGAAGAGAAGGATCCATACAAACTCTTAAGGTCAGAAGAAACAAGTTTGCTGTGTGAGCTTTAAGCAGTAAAAACCTGCCTGTTGTTGTATAATTGTCTTGGGTGATGCAAGCTGGATCTGTGATTCAACAGCTGAATGATAACAAGCTAAGCATCTGCCAAAAAGTATAGTTTGTAACTGCAATCTGGCAGTCACCGATTTTGGTAATGAACAAATACATTACTTCAGTTCTGCAGGCTTTTCTTAAATATTTTTAATTTTCAGTGCAGCTTTTTCGAGGTGATAAAATCTTCTCTAAAAGCTAGTTTTGACAAATGATTCTAAAGAAATTTGCAGTGGTGGTCATTTAAATTAAAAAATAATACAAGCCAAACCACAGGCTTTTTCTTGAACTTGGCCCAAGGTTGATACCAGTTTTTGTAAAACCAGATCTGGAAAATTACATGGGAAGCCGATGGAGAGTGTTCATCATGTTGTGCAGTACTGGCTACCAATGCCCTTGCTGGTACTTGAGATGTAGAAAATAGAGCATAACATT